ACAAGTTTTTAAAATGCAGCTTAGAATTAAAAGTGACAAAATATTTGAATAATATGAAGAAAACTTTGAGGTTTTGCTACTTTTTTCCTGCAATATTCATAAGACAAGAAGGAACATCACCACTATTTAATGAAATATTTTTATTCCTAACTAGCGCACCCGACAGACTTCGTCCTGTCAAAAAGATGTGTAATGTGAAATTTTTTTTGGTTTCTACATATATTATAGTCTGGGCCAAAAATTCTCCTGAACAGAACCGTCACCCTGGTGATAGGGCGTTGTGAATCAGAAATATAATTACATAAAACATATACGCATTTGAAAGTAAGTAATCGCTTTATTGTTAATCATGTAAATCATTACAAAAATCAATTTTATTTTGATTGTAGTGCTTTGTTATATACACTGTTTTTTGTTTGATTACCTGGCGCGTAGACAAACAAATCTGATGGTTTTCCAACACGGGAACAGGCAACATAATATTGATCATGTGCGAAACATGGGTTTTCCAGATTAATACCACAAAGACCTAATGATTGCCCCTGGGACTTGTTTATGGTCATAGCAAAAGCAAGCAGAACTGGAAACTATAGTCGTTTAAAGTCAAACGGCACATCAGTCGGAATCATTGGGATGCGCGGTATGAGAACGTCTTCTCCTTTATACTTTCCTTTCAGTATAGTTGCTAGTAATTGTTTAGTAATTTTTTTATCGCTAACCGTGTGCCGTTGCAAAGACGTGGTTGGTTCATATTTCGCAACATTATAACTACCGATCAAACTTTTAATTGAAGATTGTGAGGTGGCAATCCTGGCAAATCCAGCTAGTTTAAAAAATCTGGTGGATAGTTCACTACATCATCTTGGTTAGTAGCCAAATCAACTGATTTATATAACCTCGATTCGCCTGTAATTTGTTCTTGAATTTTTAAATGTAATATATTTACATCTATGTTTTCTGCAGACAATATAGCTCGTTCGTTCAACCAATCATGGTTTCTGTAATTTTGAGAAACATCTGGAAACATCTTCTGACTGAGTTCCTCTTTTGATCGAGTTAACTGACAAAAAAACTTTGAAGAATGTTAATGCAGCCAGTCAACATGTCTATTGGAAATTTGCCATTACCAATGTCAATGAGTTATTTAGAGAATATGTTTCCAGATTGGTCATTTTGCAACTCGACACGCATATTCTTGCTTAAATGAAGTACTTTGACATGTTTCCACAAATTGGAGGACATAAGACATGAATTGAGTTCATCAGCTGGTGTTGATCGTGGAATCACTGGCAATGTTTGACGAAAATCTCTTGCTAATAAAATCATTGCACCACCAAATTGGTTATGGTTGCTCCGCAGATCTTTTAAGGTTCTGTCTAAAGCATCCAACGATTTTTATGTGTCATCGTTTGTTCATCCCAAATAATCAATTTACATTGCTGCAAGACGTTTGCCATTGCAGAGTTCTTCGAAATGTTGCAGGTCGGAGTTTCATTGCTTTGCATATTTAATGGCAAATTTTAATGCTGAATGGGCTGTTCAACCACCTCAAGCAAAGTTGCTGCGATTCCCGACGAAGCAAGTGAAAGTGCAATTTTATTTTGTGAGCGAATTTTTGCTAATATTAATGAAATCAAAAAACTTTTTCCTGTACCATCAAGTGCATCTAAGAAGTAAATCCCTCCAGTTTCATCATTTGTTACTTTCATAAGAGTATCAAATACA